TTTTTTTTTTTTTTTTTTTTTCAGCTTCAGAATTGCTAAGCATATACTTCATTTTTGGTTTTCTAACTGCAGATCTTTGAACATTTCATTACACCTTGCTTTGTCTTCTCAAGTTAACCTTTGATATTTTCTGTTCAGCTATTTAACTTCCTCATTTCTTCCATTTGCTTTAGCATCTCTACTCTGGAAAGCAAGTCTCAGAATTTCTTCTGACATCCATTTTGTTCTTTTCCTTCTTTTTTGTCTTCTTAAAAGTGTTTCACATTTTTCATGAATGATGTTCTTGATGTCATCACAATTGTTTTGGTGTCTTACATATCACATCTGTTCTTGAGTTGATTTCTTAGTTCAAGTGAATACATGGATATCAAATTTTAGCTCTCATGGACTTGCTGACATTTTCTTCAGCTTCAGCCTGAACTGTCATATGAGCAGTTGATGGTCTGTTCCACAATCTGCCCCTGGCCTTGTTTTAGCTGTTGATGTGGACCTTTTCTACCATCCCTTGCCACAGGTGCAGTCACTTTGATTTCTGTGTATGCCATCTGGTGAAGTCCATATTTATAATCATATTTTATGTTGTTTTAAAAAGATATTTGAACAAACAAATTATTGGTCTTGCAAAATTCCACTATGTGCCCACCAGCATCATTTTTATCACCAAGGCCATATTTTCCAGCTACTGATCTTCCTTTTTTCCCCAACATTTGTATTCCCATTAACAGTAATTATCAATACATTTGATTGCATGCTTAATCAATTTCAGAATGAAAAAGCTGATAAAATTCTTCAATTTCATCATCACTGATTTTAGTGATTGGTGAGTAAATTTGAATAATAGTGGTGTTAATAGGTGCATGGATATTATTATATTTATATGGACAGCACTATATTTAAAGATAGATTATTGAAATGTTCTTTTTTTTTATGATGAATGTGATTTCATTCTTCTTTAATTTGTCATTTCATGCATACTAACCATATGATTTTCAGATTCAAAATGGCTAATACCAGTCCACTTTAGCTCATGCCTCTGATAAGCACCCCTGGTAGCAAAGTGGATAATGGAATACACATTGGGCTGCTAACCTAAAGCTCAGCAATTCAAGTCCACTAACTGCTCCATGGGTAAAAGATAAAGCTTTTTGCCCCCACAAAGATTTATAGCCTCTGAAACCCTATATAGGGTCTCTAAGAGTCAGAATAACTTGATGGCACACCATCACCACCAATGCCTAGGATATTGATCTTTACATGTTCCTAATTAGTTTTGAAAACTTCTATTATTCCTAGATTCATACTTTGTACATTCCATGTTCCAATTATTAATGGATAGTTATAGCTATTTCTTCTCAATTTGAGTTGTGTCCTATCAATAAATGAAGGCCCTGAAAGCTTTACTCCATTTGCATCATTATGGTCAATTTTATTTACTACCCTAGTAGTATTTTGAGTGCCTTCCAGTCTGAGGGGCTCATCTTCTAGCATGATATCTGACAATTTTCTTTTGATATTTATTATGTTTGAATATTCTTTGTTCTGGTACTGTCTGACAGTGTTCCATTGCTATTTATAGTGTTTCCAATGGCTAAATATTCATACTTAATCCACCTCTCCTTCTTCCTAATCTGTCTTAGTCTGGAAGCTCAGTTGAAACTTATTCACCTGGATGTGCCCTTTGTTGTTAAGAGCCATCAAGTCTATTCCAACTCATAGTGACCCTGCATAGAGTTTGCAAGGAATGGCTGGTGAGTTTAACCCACTGACCTTGCAGTTCAAATCGAACTTGCAGTCTAGTGCATTAATCCACAGTGCCACACCAGGACTGGTAGTACTTAAAACGTTATTAGCATAGCTTCCAGCATCATAGCAACATGCAATCCACAACAGTAGGATGAACTGACAGACTATTATAAATAATATGTATTTTAAGCTCAAGATTTGGTTTATAATAGGTTTCAATTAAAATTAATTGAGTGATACCATCAATAATTTTCCTGCATTGGATTTCCCCCCCATCATTATGGGAAGTATAAGATCCCTGGTGGTATAATGAGTCACATGTAGGGCTACTAACTGCAAGGTCATCAGTTTGAATCTATTATCTACTCTGAGGGCAAAAGATGAGGTTTTCTCCACCTATACAAATTTACCACCTCAGAAATCATAGATGGGTCACTATGAATCTCAACCAACTTGATGGAATCTAACAACTTAACCTATTATGGGACGTACAATGAAGTTTGTGTACTAGAATGCAAACAGGAAATATTTCTTCATGTGAAATACAAACTTTAAAAACAATACATTTTATTGTTGTTAAGTGTCATCAAGTTGTTTTTTACTCATAGTGACCCTGTATAAGATTCCTGAGGATTGGCTGGTGGGTTTTAACCACTGATCTTGTGGTTAGAAGTCCAGTGCTTATCCTATAACATCACACCAGGACTCCAGGATAGTTATCAAGGAAAACACAATTAGATAAAGTAAGGTATTCCCATACTGAATTGATGTTAATTCATCAGTTATCCTTATTTAAGGAATCTTTGCTTTTTAACAGGTAAAAAAAAGTAATTGTGTTAATATTTTCTAAGATTCTCAATAAGTACACTGATACAGGATTATGTCTTCTAAGTATATGAATTAAATACTAAGATTTGTGCATGTTTTTTGCATCCTAGTAGTAAAGCATTTTGTGCCTGTTTCATTCCATTTCTCTCCCAAAATAGCTAAATCAATGATCATGAACAATCAATTTACATGCACCAAAGTAGATTTCTATTTAAAGAAAATACATGGCTTATTTTTTTAAATCATATCATAAAGAAAATGCTAATTCTGTGAACATTTTTGTGTCACTACCTTCAAATTTAAATGTATAATTTCCTATTCACTATATTTGCAAAATCACAGATATGATATAATTTGCACTCCATACCTTTGCATGCATATGTTGATTTGCACTTACCAAAGACAGTTCTTGCTGGTACAGACTCTCTGTTGAGCCAGAAAGAGACTTGGGAAAGAATAACTGTCATTATGCATGGCAGGTATGTTTGAATAACAAAATAGCCAATCTTTCTCTTCAAGTGGAAGTGAGTAGTCATAACAACATATTCTCCTAGAGGGAGAAACATATAGTAAAGATGAGAAATTTGACCTTATAAAGAAATTATCTATGAGGCAAAGTACAGGAAGTTGGGCTTATATTATTTTCCTCCATATGGCCTTTGACTCCTAGTGAGAAAAGCTTTTATCTAGGCAAGAAAAGAAACATTTTCAACACACAACCAAATGGTTCTGGCAATGAGATTGAAGCAGAATCCCTGAGGATGCTCTTAAGTACTGAGCCTGGTGCATTATACATTTAAAGGTCTCTTCTGAGAACATACATTCAAGACTTTAAAGACTGTGAAGATACTGCTCTAGATTCTGATGACATACAACAATGGATCAGCTCTCCAGTGTATCCATTGCAGAACAAATTCAGGATGCCTAGTGAAAGAGCTATGGCATTCTAATTAGGATAACTAAATTTTAACTTTAGCATTTCCTTTACTATAGCATTTACCTTGGGTGAGAAAAGGAGATGAAATCTTCCTAGATAATTTTCACAAGAGTCACTCAGAAGATATGAAAATGTACAATTCCTAAGTTCTCATCTATTGTTAAGTGCTGCCGACTTTGTTCTGACTCATAGAAATCTTGTATAGGGTTTCTGAGAAGTGACTGGTGGGTTTGAACCACTAATATTGTGTTTTGTAACCCGGTGCTTAACCTACAGTGCTACAATAGGACTCTAATTCTCACATAGATACCCAAATCATTCTTTGAGATGGAGTCAACACAATTATATTTATAACCAGCTGTTAAGCTTGTCTCCATTCCTAGCAACTTTAGGAATTGGAATCAGCTCAATGGCAATGGATAGGCAATGGTAGTAACTAGGTGCTCTTCAAGGCTATTATTTATATATTCTAAATTCTGACTTCATTTAGAAGCCCTCAGCAATAGACACACAACCCAGATTATTGAAGATTTTTCTTTTTATTATTGCTACATTTTTAAAAAAGAAAAATCCTAGAAGATGTAGTCATATTCACTCAGTTGTCCCTGGGTGTCTAGGAAAGAAATAGATATGATAATTAAAACATTCCTCTCATAGAACATAAATTTTTCCATCTTTTCCCTTTCCTTCTCATCCAAGTTTCTCCCTACTCAACCTACCATTTATTAGTCATCACACAAATGTCCAGCTTTAGCACCTCTAATGTAACTAACCACTACTCCTCTGTCAGTTTGTCTTACTGTGGTGAGTTACATGTTGCTGTGATGGTGGAAGCTATGCCACCAGTATTTTAAATACAAGCAGGTTACACTCAAGATAGAAAGGTTTCAGCTGAGCTTCTAAACTAAGATAGACTAGGAAGAAGGTAGGTGGACTATTTGTGAATGTTTAACCACTTAAAACCATATGAATAGCAGTGGAACACTGTCAGATAGCACCAAATTATTGAATAATGAAACATGATTAATATCAACAAATATGGTCAGATATAGTGCCATAAGATGAGCCCCTCAGTTTAGAAGGCATGCAAAATACAACTGGGGAAGAGTTGCTGCCTCAAACTAGAGTTGCCCATGAGGACATGTATGGAGTATACCTATGGCTGATAGGGCAAACTCCATTTTGAGGAGAAACAGCTGTAAATATCCATTAATAATTAGAATATGGAACGCATGAAGTGTGAATCTTGGAAAATTGTTGGTTGTCATAAATTAACTAGAATGTAAAAATATCGACATCCAGTCCTGGTGTGGCACTGTGGGTTAATGTGCCAGACTGCAAAGCCATATGAACTGCAAGGTCTGTGGTTCAAGCTCACCACCTGCTCCTTGGAAACCCTATACAAGTGTTCCTATGGGTCAGAATTGACTTGATGACACTTAACAACAACAACAACAAGCATTATTGAGCTCAAATAGACTGGCAATAACCATTTTGAATCCAAAAATTATATGATTTATTGTGCTGGAAATGACAGATTAAAGAGGAATGGCATCACATTCATCATCAAAAAGTACATATCAAAATCTATGATGAGGTAAAACACTGTCTGTGATAGAATAATATCCATGCATCTACAAGGAAGACCAGTTAATATCACTTTTATTCAAATTTATGCAACAACTAAAGCCAATGACGATGAAACTAAAGAATTCTACCAACTTCTTCAGTCTGAAAATAATCAAGTGTGCAGCCAAGATGTCTTGATAATTACTGATGACTGGAATGCAAAGGTTGGAGACAAAGAGAAAGGATGAATAGGTGGGAAATATAGCCTTGGTCATAGAAGTGGTGCTGGAGATCGCATGGCAGAATTTTGGAAGACCAATAACTTGTTCATTGTAAATACCTTCTATAAGCCACTGAAAAGATGAATTAAAAATATGATAAACAAAATAATCAAATTGACTACAATTGTGGGAAGAGATGTTGGAAAAGGTCCATATCGTCAGTGAAAATAAGGCCAGAGACATACTGTGGAACAGATTATCAATTGTTCATATGCAAGTTCAGGCTGAAGATGAAGAAAATTAAAATAAATTCAAGAGAACCAGAATTTGACATTGAATATATTCCACCTGAGTTTTGAGACCATCTCAGAATATATGTGATGAAAAGACCCTAATGACTGAAAACCAAAAGAGTTGTAGGATGAAATCAAGAACATTATATAAGAAGAAATCAAAAGGTAGTTAAGGGAGTTCTGGTTTTGGCTGGTGGCAGAGACAGTCATGAAGCAAAGGTTCTGTGGGGGAGGGATTGAAATTCCAGAGAAGCTGTGCTCATGGAACAACACCTGAGCTCTGGATCTAGCATGAGGTACAGGGTGTCAGTTTCCCACACACACAAGTAGAAAAATCATGATATAAAAGAAAATACTGCAAGTTAGGAATTGCTCAACACAGAACTTCCTCTGCAGACACCCCTCCTGGGGGAAATTCAGAGGGTAGGGCTACAGCCAGACCAGCACAGGGAACCAGTGCTAAAAGCAGTACAGTGACATTTGCAAAAGGAAGTGTGGGGGATTCTACACATTTTTTCCTCTTCCCTGTTACGCCTTATTAGCCCAGCCAGGACTCCTTCAGTAGGGACGGTGTGCACCCTCCAAAAAAAGTCCAATGCTGAGCACATAGTTTTCCTACAACACAGAGAGAAAGAGCTTGCTGGCTGCTTATGATGTCAGCCTAGGAGTCGCAGTCCTATAATTAACTTCTGAAGTACCCTTTACTCCAGCCTATCTAGCAAGAAAAAAGCAGGCCCATCAGGCCTGACAGACAAAGCATATGAACAATCTGTAAAACCCCAACATAAAAAGATGCACCTATCTCCAGAATTATGCTGTGCATAGGCACATACCTAACAGACCTTCAGAGACAAAAATATTAGACAATCTTTCTCCCATTAACTTCTACCTATGCACCACTATGGTGGTGACTAGAAGAGGGGCCTGAGTGAGCAGATACTCCCACCCACTACTGGAGGATTCTACAGTACATACACACTGCCTATGTAGCAAGGCGACTGGACAGCCAACCACTGTTTTATTTTTGTTTCAAAGTGGTGGTTTTTGTCTCTGCTTTTATATTACCTCTAATTTTGGTCCTCTTGATCACACATTTTTCCTGGCAGTGGAAGCTTTTTTTCCCTAAGTTACCCAAGAAGAGAGAGCAATCATGCTACAAGCATGTCCCATAATATTCCACCATTGAGACAAGAAGCAATAACAGCTGGTAAGCATTACATGTGAAAACGGAAGCCTATCTCCTGATCATATCCACCAGGAAACACACAGTAAGCTTAATAACAAAACAACAAACATCCATTTAAGCATCAAAAAACATACATAACCACTGGAAATGACAAACAAAATACAACAAAAATCTTAAAACATATCCAAAAGCAGAAAAGAGAGAAGTGAGCTGGAGACAGACAAAGGCTGCTCAGAAGAGGAAGAGCAGGCTTTGAATTTGCCTGAGAAGGAATTCAGAACAATGATATGGAAACAAATTCAAATGCTCTGAAAAAGGATTGAAGGAAAACAAGTAAGAAGGCAGGAAAGTACTATAAGAGCAATCAAACAAGATCGATAAGCATTGGAAAAAAATCAAAACCTGCAAAAAGAGGTCCAGGTGATTAATAATAAAATATCAGAAATGGACAATACATTGAAAGGGGAAAGGGACAGAATAGAAACGATGGAAGCCTGAAATAGCGAGCTGGAAGACAAATCTCTCAATACTGTTAAGATAGAAGAGCAAGCAGAAAAGAGGATTAAAAAATTTGAAGTGAGTCTAAGATTCATACTGAATGACATGAAGAGGAAAACCTTAAGAATTATTGACATTCTGGAACAGAAAGAATCAGAGAAATCCAAAAAGGAGATAGTTGAAGAGCTTCTGGAAGAAAATTTTCCTAACATCTTGAAAGATGAGAAGATAAACATTCAAGAAACCAAACGTGCCCCAGGAAGGATAGACTCCCCCAAAGACAGTCAGCAAGACATATAATAATCAAGCTCTCCAAAATCAAAGAAAGGAGAGAATCCTAAAAGCAGGCTGGGGAAAGAGAAATGTCACTTACAAAGGCAACAATAAAGATTAAGCTCTAACTTCTCAGCAAACCATGCAGGCAAGAAAGCAATGGGGGACATATACAAAACTCTAAAAACAACAACAACAACAACAAACAAAAACAGTCCAGTACTTCAAAATATGCTAAAGGGACTTATTTGGAATGAAAACCAACAAGAACAGACAACAACTAGAGAATGAATGTATGGCAACACCACCTGGAACTCAGTCAACAGATAACAGAGTTCAGAAAAAAACAAAACTATAACAACAAATTCAAAGGAGCTGGGAGGTCAACCGAAGATCAAAATAATATCAATATCAAAGATATAGATATTATTTTGATGTAGAAAGAGAGATCCAGGTAGTGAGGATGTAAGGTAGATTAAATAATACAATGTTGTGTTGTTGTTAAGTGCCCTAAAGTCAATTCCAACCCATAGCAACCATGTACAGTGTTTCCAAGGAGCAGGTGGTGAGTTG